TCCAGCAGAACTGATGCAGCTACAGAATATGCAACTGATGAGCATTTCCAACAATGTAAGTTTGTTTGCAAGACTGGATGGCTGTTTCATCTCTTTTCCCTCATTTTGTCACTCACCTCTCATGAAATGGATGTTGCAACAACCTGCAGGATATAAAGGGACCACTACCTAGTGAGATTGGAGTCCTAAGTGGCATGGCAGTATTGGAGGCTTCCAACGCTTCTCTCAACGGGACAGTGCCAACAGAACTGGAGAATTTGTCGGGGTTGACTGTCCTGAACTTGGCCAACAACCCATTCTTGTCTGGTAGTATTCCAGCGGGCCTGTGTGGAATACAAGCATTGAACTTTGACTGCTCCAAAGTTCTCTGTGGGTGTAACTGTAGCTGCACCAATACTTGATCTATGAAAGCTGAGAAATGAGGATCTTGTTTTGTAATCTATCTAGCTAGTTCGTGCGAATCATCTGATGCTGGTCCAAAAGTGGAGCTTGGAGTAGCTGTTGCCCCCCCACCACGACGCTAAGCAAGCAGAGAAATGTGGAGAGTTGTACACATAAATGTTCCTTTCTTAGGCTGGCTGCCGCAAGCTGGAGCTAGGCTTACCAGGGATCATTCACAATCGAGAGTGACTGTCAATCGAGAGCCAATCAGTCTCCACTCATTGCTCTGAGCAGCCAACCAAAGGACGCCCCCCTTCACCAGAAACCCACCATCCCACCCGGGCTGCTCAATTCAGTGTTTGAGGTCCAACAGCTCTGGGTTGGTGCACTACCGGTAGATAGCACCAACCCCGCACTGTTCCCCAACTCTAGCACTATCATTCCTATACGGCACAATGAGGTGTACCTAGCCGCACCACCTACTAGCTAGAATTTATGTCTCCGTGGCTCCCGCAAGGCCAAACCCTTTGGCCCCCGAAATGGTCCTCATTTTCTCGCCCCTGACCCCACAAAACCCAGTCCAGAATTTCGGCTGCTCTTTGCTTAAGCCTGCCCCCAGCTGGCTGGCTTCGGTAGATAATCTACCTACTGTACTCCCTTTACTAGAGCTAGCTAGTAGCTAGATTGCCAACTCTCTCCGCCCCAATGTTTGTGGAGGTTATCGGTTTCTAAAGGGTAGCGGCACGGTGGACAAGTCGTACTCAGAGTACCTGGTAGGTAGCTAGATTGTCTTTAAAATTAAAAGCGAGGTCTCAGTCTCCGTGGACTGAGCGACTCTTACTTCTTAATTCTTACTCCAATGACCAAGTAAGCAAAAAGGCCTTTCGAATGCCACTCGCAGCGCGACCGGTACCGATGGGTCAGCACCTACCAGTTTTGGGACGATTTAGATCGGTCCCAATGAGACACTCATGAGTGCAATTTCGATCTGCTGCTAGATAACAAGTAAACGACGACCATGACAAGCAGCTACCACTACAACAATGACATCGTTGGAAAGAGCATAGTTGAATTGATAGGATAACACTATAGCGCCATTGTTAGATCTTCTTATTTCGTCTTTAACTATCGTTTTTTAGCAGCGGAGTCGAGTCACGTTTTTTTAATTTTCAATCAGTCTCGTGTCTCACGGTCAGTCAAGAACGATCAAGTCCATTACAGTCGATCCTATTAGGACTGAAGGTCCACAACACCCACAGGAACATGTCGGATATCCCAGAAGACCAGAAAGAGCAGCGCGCTGTCACTATTGTGGCTGCTTCTGGTGGCAATATTTCTGTGAAAGGTGCCATGAAAGCGGTAGGATTCTCTACTCTTGATTTGCTGAATCGATCCATTGAACGGCGGATCCATCGCAAGGCGAAGAAGCTACAAGAGCAGAATGTCACCATCTTGACTCCTCCACCTTCCGTTGTCCAAGTTTCCGTTCCTGAGACTTCGAACATGTCGGTATTGAGTGAGGATACCCGTCGGAGGTCCTCTGGAATCGCTTCCCGTCGACGATCCTCATCGGATGATGCATCATTGGAGGAGGATCCGTCATTGGACGAGCGAGTTGCCAATGCCAAGAAGAAACTCAACATCGAAATTGAGGAGAAAGAATTCAAGAAACGCCGAACATCTGGACAAAAGCAACACGATGATGCTGAGAGGAACAAATTGGCGAAAAGAAAAGGAGAGGCAATTCGAATTGCTACCCAAGCTGTTGCCGACAACAAACTGCTCCCACCAAAGCATCCAGACAAGAAGAGTGCTGCCGAAATTGTGCGACGCATCAATGTAAAATTGAACACAGATATCAGTGAAATTACAGTCAATAAGATGGTCCGTGAAGGTAGAGTTGGAGAATCACCGATGAAGAGAGGACCCAAGAATAGCTTTGGCAAATTGATTTATTTCAACCTATCCATGGCCTTTGTCACTTTTCTCAAGCTCGAACAAGCCGAATCAAAGACACAATCGAACCTGAAGCAACTCTCTTTGCGTGTCAATGCATGTGTGAACAAAGCTGGGTTCAACAAGAAAGGAAATGATTTGACGAAAAAGCTTAAAGCTGACACTGCTGACCTGTTGGAAGTCGGCAAATTGAATCGGCAGGAGCAACGCCGTCTCATGTGGACCACCCATGCTAACCTCAACGTTTGGTATGACACATGGGGAGAGTCGATGGTGGATCTTGGTTTTGCTAGATGGAAGACAGAAGAAGATGAGATGGAAGAAGGAGAGGATGCCTGTGTCGGCGAGCTTGTCTTCTTTCCTGGTCAGAAACGACGTATCATTAACTTTGATGAAACCGACGGATCAATGGATAACACTACTGGTCATCGTGGTGGACGTCCTCCAATTGTCTTCTACTCCAAAGACATTACCGGTGGTGGAACACAAGCGAACAAATCTTCCTACACTCCCACTATTGTTTGTGGATCTAATGCTGCTGGTGAGCCACTGCCTCCTCATTTTCAGTTGAAGACGTCGGCAACAGCAACAGAGAGAGAGAAGCTGAACATTGATTTTGTCCGTCACACCAAGCAAATCCGTGCACAATTTGGCCACAATGAAGTCAAGTTGTTGCCGGTAACATTCGGCATGAATGAGAAGGCCGGCATGAATGCTGTTGAATTAGACAAATACTTTGACTCTGCCATTCTTCCTTTATACCCAGACGCCGAAGACAAGCCTTTGAAGAGAGTTGCCATCAAGGTTGACAGTGGACCTGGACGGACGAATGTGGAGATGCTAGCAAGGCTTCGAGTTCGAGGCATCTACCTCTTTCCAGGAGTGCCGAATACAACTCAGGTGACACAAGAAACTGATCAAAACTATGGAGCATTCAAGACTGCTTTTCGTGGCAATCTTGACAGCCTCTCAGCTGCTCGATTCCTTGACCACAAAAACATGACAATCAATGACCTTCCTTTGTTGGTTTTTGGTGGAACTGATCCCATTACAAGTTGTGATCTTGAAGATTCCTTCCAGCGAGCTTTCAACAAAGAAGCCAACCTTGCCGTCTGGAAGAAGTGTGGAGCTGTACCGCTGACTAGAAACGCTCTAAAGAGTTCTCAAGTCCGGCATGAAGTGGTGACCAATGAGGATGGCACTATCAATGAGGATCTAGATGATGAGGGGCACAAGCTTATTGAGCTGGAAGAAGCCAACAAAATGCATTGTGCATTCCTTGACAGTCTTGGTCTCGATGGTAACCGATTGCGCAAGGACGCACCCAAGCGTCATGCCCAGCGCTACCAGATCACAGAAGCTCACTCCCAAGCCCGTGTTGAAGCCATTTCCCAAGCCAAGGGCCATGGTGAACTGTTTCATGTGACACAAGGACAACATTTGAATTCAAATGATTTCTTCAGAGCAAGAGAGCACAACAACCGGCAGAACCGAATCAAGGAATTAGAAGCAAAGAAAGAGTCTGAATTGACCGCGGCAGCTGTAAAGGACAAGCGTGATGCCATCGTTGAAGAGAAGGGAGAGCCAACAGTCGAGACAGTTGGTAATTTTACAGTGGCCGAGCTACAAGCACTACACAAGTACAAAACAGGAAAGAATGGAAAAGGGAAAAAGAATGATGTTCTAGAAGCTTATCTCAAGGCCAAGAATCCACGAAAGCTCGACGGTTGGTCAGAAGAGGAGGAGGCTGACCTACAGCGTCTCAAGGAGGAAGACATTCCATTGGAGGAAACAGCAATTGGCGAAGCTGTCTCTCAGGCTGCTTCCGCGGTTGAAAACCATGTTGCTCATTTGGATTCCGAGACGCAACAACGACTCTTGGAAGCTCTGCAAAACGCGGTAGAGTTCGATCCTGAGGAGGTGGTGCAAGACGAACCAGTTTAGTAGTAGATAATAGTAGCCGTAATGAGTAATGACAACGTTTTGTAGTGGAAGCAGTTTTCTTTGTTATTTTGGTATCGCGGAATGAGACATCAAATTTGTCTGAGACAATTTAGATTGGTGGGAATCCACTTTTCACCGCAATAAAGCCCGGTCTCGATCCAAACTCCCCCAAAACTGGTACCGTATGTTCCTTCTTTGTCGCCGGATGGCGGATGCCGCAGTTCCATGGTACTTTATACTTTGTAATAAGCTGATGAGAAGCGCAGGAGGCGAAGAAGCAGTCACACAATGGACCACATCGAGAAGGAATCTGGCCGCTCTTTGGGAACTGCAGCAGCAAATGATAGAATGAATACTTCCCTGGAACGCGTCCCCTCGTCCAAGAGCTTTGCTCTGTCTCGAGAAAACAGCTCCAAGAGCGTTCATGATCACCAAAACGAAGATGACAGCACCAGATTGAACGAGTCATGGTTCCAACAAGTACTCACCAATGCGCGGGAATCAGCAACACAAACAATATCGGATCCAATGGCAGAAGCGACAGTCCGAGGGGCAGGGATCGCTCCTGAGCCTCCTTCAGGAGCGAATGCCAAAACATCTCATCAACCTGGTGACCCATCAGACGAGAAAAAGGCCCCTGCACAAAAGGACCATCCTGCTTCCAAAACTTCCAAGAGTACCAGCAGCACTGGAGAAGCCAGACTGCGCGATGAGAAACACCCCAAAAGTGAAGCGGAAAAGATAGTCGAAGGTTTTGAAAATGGCGGCAGGGTTCCTGACCATGGGAACAGCAATAATGGAAGGAGTAGGATACTAGACAATGATACCAGTGAATACGATGAAAAGAGAATCCTTTGCGAGAAGGCCTCGGGCAGCGAGCAGAACCAGCCAACACCACCGCCTACAGAACAATCCGTGAAAATAGGGAAAATATCCAGAGCGTCGGCAGGCAATCTTGAAGGGGGAAACATCAACGAAGATAGCTCCGTTGAGGAAGTTCCTCCTCGGCGATCAACCCGGGAATCGGCTCCGGGTGCCTTCCGATCGGACGGGACGGAGACTGTGCCAACTCAACCGGTACGATACTCTCTCTTGGCAGCATCCACCCATGGGCAGAACGCCGAAGACGAATCAGCCTCTATGTCTCAGCTTGAAACCACCGCGGCGCCAATCCCACCATTGCCAGCTTCTTCAAACGGCGACAACAACAATACAACCCGAGGAAGCTCCAACTTCCTAGTGGTGGCGAACCCAATCAGTAGCCATTTTATGCAATTGGCAGAGGAAGTCGGAAACAGCGACGACAGCCGCCGCACAAGTCAAGCATCGGAGAAGTCCAACCTTTTGTTGGCTGGCACCATTTCGGTGGTCCTCCTGGTGGGTCTGACACTGCTGTTGGTAGTCCTGCTGACGGGAACCTCGACCGACGACGACAGCAACAACATTACCGGTACGGTTACCCCAGACGCCGGTCCAACCCCAGCACCATCATTGGGAATTGAAACCTATGTACAGTCATTACTCCCGGAATACACAGTGACAGCTCTTAGGAGTCCCTCATCGGCACAATCTTTGGCATACCAATGGCTCTTGGATGATCCAGCTCTGACAAACTACCCCGCTTGGCGTATCCAACAACGTCTTGCACTGGCCATCTTGTTCTTCTCTACAGATGGGGACAACTGGAATGAAGCAACACACTGGCTCAGCTATGATCACCATGAATGCGATTGGTATTCCAGCACTTTCCTTCGTTGGGATCTGGCCAAGGAAGAGTTTGGCACCATTTTAGAGGATATAAAACAATATTTTGCTGACAGTGTTTGTCAGGAAGGAAAATACAATCACTTGAGGCTGCATTCAAACCGTCTCCAAGGTACTGTTCCTCAAGAGCTCGGTTGGTTGTCTTCACTCAAGACGCTTCTTCTGTTTATCAATGACATCACTGGGAGCATTCCCACCGAGATTGGACATTTGAATGAGCTGGAGATCTTTGGCTGTGTTGCCTGTTTCTTGACTGGCCAGGTGCCGACCGAAATTGGTTTGCTCAGCAATCTGATAGGAATTGGCGTGTATGTCAATCCTTTCCTGAATTCTACGCTGCCAACTGAACTGGGCCTGCTGGAGAAGTTGGAAGCTGCCTACCTGGGGGGCACTGACTTGTTTGGAACCATTCCAACGGAACTAGGGCAACTGACAAACATAATTTCATTGTGGACAGGTGGCAATGAGCTTGAAGGTTCCCTGCCAAGTGAGCTTGGCTTGCTCACACAAATGATGGAATTTTCGGCCTCCAGAAACAACATGACAGGAGAAATACCACTGGAGATTTGGTCCCTGCAGCACATGTCACACTTGGAGTTGCAGTCCAATAAGTTGGAGGGGTCTCTTCCGACAGAGATAGGCCTCCTTACTTCGGCCACTTGGCTGAGTCTCTCAGAAAACAGCCTGAAGGGTTCCTTGCCATTGCAGCTGTCCCATTTGACAGGCTTGGAAGAGTTGTACCTGGGTTCCAATGCCTTTACTGGCTCCCTTCCTTCATCCATTGGACGACTTCGCAACCTGACAAGGTTGGTTCTCTCCAACACGGTACGTGCCGTTGTTGTTGGCGTTGCCGCCAGACACCCATGACTCTGTATAGTCTCGTCAGTCTCAACCATGTTGTGTTTCTTCTCATCATCAATGTCTTTTATGCTCCAGACACTGACAGGACAACTTCCTAGCGAGCTTGGGCTTTTGACAAAGCTGACTAGATTGGATCTGTTGGACAATCCATTCCTCACAGGCACCATTCCAGAGGGTCTGTGTAGCCACGGTATTCTCTTTACATGCTCCGAAACTCTGTGTGGTTGTGACTGCAGTTGTACTGGAACCTAACTTCTAACGGTAGACTACATGTACCAGTAGCTAGTTGGAGAAGCTTCACAGTAGCATTCGGGCTCAGCGATTCGACGCTAGCTAGCTAGCTAGCTAGCTACTAGGTGGCAGTTCTGCTACCAGTTTCTATGGTGCAGTTCCAAGCTCAAGACGAGCAATACAGCAGTCTGAAGCTTGGAGCAGCAGTTGTGGCTGACCACGGGGGTGGGGGCGTTCATTCGCGGAGTTTCACTACAGTGTATTGCATCTACTAGGACCGCCAGTTTCTATCGTGCTGCTTCAAGCTTCAGTCCAAGCAATGTAGCAGTTGTGTCGTCGTCGTCGTCGTCTAGCCTATTGAACAAACAAATTTTGCCCTTTGGGTCAGATTTGTCTTCTCACAGCCTGCCCTGGAAACTCTAGATGTATAATCCAATTTGCTGACAGGCCAGGAACACTGCCTGGAAGCGTTGGCGAGAAAGATGTTGCAGCTGAATTGAATCTCCCCAGCTGTGATAGTCTCTCACGACACACCCAGCTTTTACCGGTACTAGCTAGACAGCTGTTCGAAACTAGCTTGTTTGCTGTTCTGCTGCCAGTTTCTATGGTACTGCTCCAAGCTTCACACGAAGCAGTCTGAAGCTTGAAGCGGCAGTGTGGCTATTGGTAGCCACGGGGGCGATGTATCGTTGTCGTGGCACGAAGAAACCGCGGCCTTTTTGGGTGCAGGTTGTCATATGACGAGAATCGAATCCAGGATCGTCGTGGTGTAGGGGGAAATCCGAGCCACCCACTCTTTTTCTCAACTAAAATTACAATGATCATACACTTCGACGAATGCGTTTACTTTATGATTGCCGTGTAATGTGATTTCGAATTGAATCGTCCAAGAAATCCACTCCATTTGGGATGCGAGTTGTGACCATGTGAATTGTTGCATTCTTAGTTTTTTATGATCTCAAATTTGCGAGACGAGCTTCCAAATCGTCGGCAGCAACCGGCTGGGCGGCTTCGCCCTGCTGTGGTACCTTCTTTCCAACCGGTCCAGCCTGTGCAAAAGCATCCCCCAACTCCAGATTATTGGCATCGGCGACTTGTGAAATGAGACTATCAACTTGCTCGGCCGGTGTAGTCGATGCGGTGGTGGCATTCATGGTGCCTTCCATGTACTGCGTCTTGACATCCAAATCTTCGAATTGTTGTTCGAATTTGTCCATAATTTTGGATATTTCATCAACATTCATGGATTGCAATCCCTTGTCCATGCCCCTCACGACGCCCTTCATGCCGTCCGCCACTTGGTTCATTCGAACGGCCGTTTCGATTCGCGACGAACAAGCGTCTATACGCGACGCCATGCGCAAATGATTCAACGCTTGATTCTTCTCGCGAATCGCATCTTGACCGTAAATACGAGCTCCTTCCGAATTGCCTTGTTTGATGGCCTGTAGTGTTATACATACACAACAAGAATAAAATAAAATAGAGGGAATGAACAAAACAGAATGAGTAAAGATCAACACTAAAAAAGCACTCCACTAAAAGAAAGAGAAAAAAGACCCACCTTTTTCAATTTTTCCAGAGCTTGTTTTTCATTCTTTTCGCACTTCTTGGCAGACCGTTGCATTTGCTTCGATACAATACGCAGATTGATCATTTCTTCTTCGAGAGATACTTTGTTGCCCATGGTGACTTGTTTCCTTGTTTGCTTGTTTCTAAAGAGCTGCTGGTGATTTCCTGTCTTCTTGCTTGTGGTTGTGGATTTGATTTGCTGGGCCGTTGATTTTATGAGAAGATCGGAGCCTTCAACGCATGCTTCCGAGTGCCTTCCAGAATCGTGGCACGAGTGAAACCGGGAACGTCGGATCGTGGCCACGGCGTGGACCGTGGATATACATCGTGGATCGTGGACTACGACCGTGGACCGTGGACAGGAGACGGTCCACAACATCATCTATTTTTCTACCGCAATCAAAACCACCATTTCGATTGGTTCTTCCTGGGGTAAATAGCAATGGCGTCGCATTCCCATCCAGCGCCTACGTACCTACAATCAGATATCTTGGTGGCTGCGAACTTAATTTCGATCCTTCGTTGTCATAGGATTTTGCATGTTGTTCGGCAGGGATGATGTTTGTCGCCAGAGGCAGGCAGCGCGAGAGGAATTGCTACATGTACTTGACTCTCGCTCCTCCTCAGGTTGGAAAGGACGACTACTAGTGGCACGGTAGGAAGGGTCCTAAATGAAACATGTTGTCAGGGACTAGACTACGGACGGTATTCCCAGCAAGTTGGTCTACAGTCATTTTTTTGAAGCTGGCTGGCTGGATTCCAACCCCAAGTTGCCTTTGGTAGCTCCTTTGGTGCAAGAACAACACTCGCCTCGGTTCTTTCACTGAAGATTCTACAGCACTTGCTAGTAGAGATGTGGGCTTCTTCAAGTTCGATCTAATAAGAATACATGTAAGTATAAAGCAACCATGCTCATGCTCCAGCTAGCAGCTACTGAAGCTAGGCTAGTAGGAGGTTGCTAGGTTGTTGCTCTACTAGCCAGTAGCCAAAATTGGACAGTGTCCACCCATGTCCAATGCAATGATTGTTGCTTCATTTATTTTATCTTGGTGGGGCAGTGGCTTGGTTGGTATTTACTGCAGTAAATCCGGGTTACTGGCTCCTTACTGTCCAATTACTGCCATTGTTGGCCACCTAATTACTGCAGTAAGTAATCCCATGCAGTAAGTAATTTGCCTTTGCAACAGTAATATCCAGTAAATGACAGTAAAATCACAGTAATTAGCCTTTATTACTGCAATTACTGTAGTTTACTGCCTTCAATTGGCTTTAAATTACTGTGCATAATTACTGCTACTGAGGAATTACTGCATTACTGCCATTACTGCTCCTTTTACTGACCTCATGGCAGTAAGAAATAAACAGTAAATACCAACCAAGGGCAGTGGGCATGGGTATGGTTTCTTTTACTCGTAGTTTCGTACCAGTACCTAATTAGAATGCAGCACCTTCCACCTTCCACCTTCCAGCTACCTTTTACACTATCTTACCGATTCATGGCTCGCTCATACTTGTACCTACACTGTGAACCGGTACCGGTATTAAGCACGTTGCTCCCGTCGGATCGCTGTGGAGCTGATGTCTGTGCAGTCTTCTCCATCCCAGCCAAATCGGCTTTACCACTGTACCACTGAAGAGGCAAACATCTTTACAAGGGCAAGCGGTACTGCCGCAAGCGGCCATCTTTGTTGTTCTTTTATAAGGCGAAACAATGAAACAATGTCAGTTAGTTGAACTACACTTGTAGCTCACTTATTGTGTGGAGAGTGTGGAGCAGACAGAAAGAAAGCCTGGCGAGGCGAAATCAATCTTTGTTGTTCTCTGGTCTGGAGTGCCATGGAGTACTCTTTGTGAAATGACACTAGGTTCCTGTTTATGTCTTATTGATATTTACTGGATTTATTGATTGACATTTAGAAGACTTAGTCCTCTTTTCGGAAAGTCAAGACCTCCTTGATAAAACTAACTGTGAAACTGTGAAGTCCTTGGTATTCCTGGGCTGGTTCATTGACGTTCCGGTACCACTCCCCTTTTACAATCAAGAATCTTCCAAACCTCTTCCTAATACACTTATACCTCATGTATAAGATAACTATATTCTTAGTCCAGTACTGGAAGTATCTTTCATCATATCAACTGCCACAATGAGTCTGAGTCATCATTTTTCAACCAGCCCAATCTCCGTATCTTTCATATCTTATTGCTGCTAGCTAGCTAGCAGCTATTGTCACATCCCATACTCTGCCATTATCCATGCCCTCAGACAGTCAGGAGCCACTGCCAAAGCCCAAGAAGGCAAAGGTGCAAAGCCAAAATTGCTAAAACCAAAGATGGGGCACCCCAAGATGGGACCTGGAGGACTTGGCTGGATGTAGATGGAATCCTAAGCTAAGCTCATACTACTACTATTTGGGGATTGAGGTACTAGCTAGCTGCCCTCACTCCCCAAATAGTAGTAGTATGAGCTTTGGATTTGAGGTGTTGGTACTCATAACGGTAGCTTATCTTTAAAATGGTTTGGGGAATCTGATTGTCTCTGGTAGAGATTTGGGTATCTGATACTAACGTATCTTAAGTGTGAGTTAGGAGTGTACTACACTATTCGATACCGCGCTAATTGACAACCTGGTTGGTCTACAGAGTTGCTATCCATCATCTCGTAGGGTAGCGATACATGTATGTATGGAGTTCCGTAACCACTTTGGGCAATAGAATGTGCCCTTGCATCCATCGAAGGAAGTATGCTGTAAACTCTTGGCCACTTTTTTTGTTGTTGCAAACCTTCGAAGCGCTTGCACAATCACCCCCATCACTAGCTAGCTACCGAAAGCTAACTAGGTAGTCCAAGAGCCGAAGTCTCCACCCCACAACACAATCCTCTGGATCAAACCAATCGCCGAGACGCCGTCTCTGTCCTTCTATTCTTCGAACTGATCGATCCGCTGGAGCCATTATCCATCCATCCTGTCATCATGTCAATTTGTTCCTCTTTATCATCATCTTGTTCATCTTTATCATCATCCTCCTTCTCAGAGCCAGCTGTAGCAGAGGCGGCAACACCAGACTACCACTGCCACGACGACAGTAGCATTTACTACTTTGGCTATGGCGCCTTGGTGAATCCCATGGCACGTCAACGCCGCGGCGTCAAGACGTGTCAAGCACAAGCGGCCAGTCTTCCCGATTACCGCTTGACGTTTGCGGTCGCCGGTGCCGCCAATATCTGTCAACAACAAGGCTGGGAATGTCACGGGATTCTCATGAAGTGTGCTTCGCCACAAGACTTTGAAACATTAAAGGCGTTTGATACCGGCTACGACTGTATTGCCGTTCAAGTCTTTCCCTATCACGATTACTGGAATGACAGTGATGATGCTGCTACGACAAAAGTCCAAGAAGACAATCAGACCAAATGTGGGTATCGCAATTCGTTACACGGCAAACAATCCATTACCGCCAATGTCTTTGTCATGCACGCCGACCCGGAAAAGAATGAAGCATTGCCCATGGATCGATTGCCGCAAGAACGATACTTGCGAGTCATTGCGGCGGGCATGAAGAGCTACGGCGTCGATGAGGGGTATATCGAAGAAGAAATCATGGGAGTCCCCTACATTCCCAGTCGCAAACCCCACGAGTACCTCACGTTCCCACCCGCACAAGCAGACGTACCGGAAATGTCACTGGTCGAATGGAATCACTATTGTCACGAACGATTGCAACATGAAGCAAAACCATTGATATTGATACGGCTCGGTTCCACTGTGATTCAACTACAAGACTACAATGTCGACAATCCCTTTTGTACATGGCTTCACGGACGCATGATGGGACCGCACGATGCGACGTGGGTATTGATGCAAACCCTCCTAGATCCCGACCTGACACCGCGCATTACCAGCCCCGATCAAGTCGCTGCCCCGCATCATGCCTGGGCCGAAAATCAACTCATGGAAAAGTTTGAACAAGCCGGATTGCATACCGCCACTACCATTGTGCGGGTGCAACTGTCCCAAACCACACCCTGCGTTCAGTGCAATTATCAACAGCAACAACAACAACAGCTGCACCGGAGTAGTACGGCGCTCAGTACCAATAGCAGCATTACCACCACATCCTCCACGCAATTGTCGTTGTTGTTGACGGATGAATCGCAATCCGAACCAGCCGACAACGAAGGACGACAACGCAAACAAAAGAACAAACTGCTGCTGTCGCGAAACAAATCCTCCAAGAGCCATTCCAAATTGTCGTCCATGCGCTCGTCATTGCGATCCAGTCTTCATGGACTCTTTGTCAGACGGTCGTCGCGAGAATCTGCCCTGACGACGTCGTCCCAACAACGACAGCCACTCGCTTCTTCGGCGGGATAACCAACCAATGAATACACTTTGTACACTAATAGAATAGTGTGAGTGATAATAATAGTAATAAATGGCAACTTTAGAAGTAACAAACTAGTTAGCATGTAATCCGCTGATTTGGCGTGGCCCCAGCTGTGGCCAGGAAGCAGATCTCCCCGGCCATACTCAAATCTTAGATTTAAGGCTCGTCTGCTGGATGCCATCATGTGGGGGGGGGGGACACATTGTGAGCGGCGAAGCCACAAAACACTGTTCACTCCACACTCTAGTAGGTCTAAAGAATTGTTAGTCTTGGGGACTATAGCATTAGTCTCCACTGAAGCAAAGCAGTGCTGTTTGAGATCCAAACTCAGGAAGGATCAAGGGCGAGTGTGATAGCCAACATTTTCAGCAGCACTGGCACAAAAGCTGAGCTACAAAGCAAAGCGATGACTGGTCTACTAATTGCACTCGGCGGTTCTCCATATGGTCACTGCCTGGGGGGAGGGGGGATGAGTGGTAGTTTTTATGCTGCCTCCTCCTCCGCGACTTCTACTCCTGAAAGTGAGAGGTTGTCAAATCGAACTTGGAATACATTGGTCGAGGTCGCGCCAGTCATGTAGTAGCCCCCAATCTTTAGAGTATGACTGCCACTGCTCAAGGATCCTAGGCTGATCGTCACAGTCGCCCAATTATTGACACTGTCTTGGTCGCTGGAAGCCACAACTGTCGTGCTGCCGTCAATGTCCACCATTACCTCACCTACATCACCGCTTGTATAGGTGCCCTTCCAAGCCATCTTATAGTCGAGGCTAAAAATGGCCCCGTCCAGGGCACTGCTTAGCGTGAACGTCACTGTCCAGCCAAAGGACAACTCATCTACGGAACTCAAACCTGGACCTGTCAAACGAGTCCTGGCCCCTGAGTTGCCACTGCCTCTACCGTACCCCGTAGTGCTGGTCTCTCCAACAACATACTGCTCGTCTGTGATTGTGCCTCCAAACAGATATGGGCCCGACACAAAGTCTCCGTTGGAGCTATCAAAATCATGTGCCCACGCTGTGACGGTTGGAGCAGCGGTGGGATCAAACGATGGCGCGGGGCTGCTAGACGGCGCAGATGAGGGGGTGCTAGACGGCGTAGATGAGGGGGTGCTGGTTGGTGTACCGGTCGGATACCTTGAGGGGGGCACTGAGGGTTCAGAAGATGGTACCGCCGAAGGGGTCCCGCTGGGTCCGGGTGAAACAGTTGGAACTGCAGAGGGGAGCAAGCTCGGGTTTCCGCTCGGGTCAACTGAAGGATGTTCACTGGGTCTCAAACTGGGGGTGCTCGACGGGGCAATGGATGGCATTGCAGAAGGGGGTTCTGTGGTGCAACCGCTCGTGTCAAAGGAACATGTAGAATCGCAGGACAAGATTCCACCAAAGAAGCCAAAGTCCACGCAGCCTTTCCCCCCGAGATCAAGATAGTCGCATTCCTCGCCGTCGCTGTCCACAACAGCATTCCCGCAGATAGTGCAATTGCTAATATCAAGCGTGCACGAATCATCGCAGGCTAAGGACCCGCCGGAGAAACCTAGGTCTTCACAGGAATGGCCACCAAGATTTGAACCGTCACAACTCTCCTCCGTGTACGTCACAAGGCCATCACCACAGCTGAGACACTGAGACGTATCAAACTGACAAGAGCTTGAGCAAGACAGAGCCCCACCACTGTAGTAGCCCAGGGATTCACAAGTTGCGTCGTTGAGGTTTTCTCCTTCACAAGTTTCCTCTCCTGAAATGAGTCCATCTCCGCATGTTGAGCAGCCACTTATATCGAACTGACAGGCGCTAGTGCATGCAAGCGAAGCATCATCGTCAAAGCCAAATGAGGAACAGTTCATACCACGCAGATCGGAGCCGTCGCACACTTCGCTGAATTGTGCGACTCCATCCCCGCAAGTATTGCAGTGGCTTGTGTCCAGATTACAGAAACTATCACAATGCAATGTACCTCCAGAGAACCCCAAGGATGTGCAGGAAGTGTCAGCAAAGTCAGAACCATCACAATCTTCTTCCAGGTTCAAAATGCCGTCGCCACAGAAAGGTGTTTCGGTAGGTTGAGCACTCGGTTGTGAACTAGCGGTTGGAGGAGGCGAACTGACTGTTGGAGCTGGTGTGATGCGACGAGTAGGTGTCGATGTTGGTGGCGATGACGTTGGGGGACGCGATGGAAGATTAGTTGGAGCAAGTGTTGTAGGTGTCCATGTTGGTGGCCTTGATGTAGGGGCAGGTGAGGTTGGGGAATCAGAAGGCGCCGACGTGGAACATCCAGAGTGGCGAAAATTATCAATGGCGACAGTGTTATCAGAATCACCTCGAAACATGGCCAGCCCAGCCTCGTGCCCCAGGCTTTGATATTGAGTAGTTGTGATCGTTCCGACATCGTATGTAAGCGTGTTGCCCATCTGGGATCCGCTTGCAAAGTTGGAGAGAGTCACTTGGACACTGCCTGTTGCATCAACTTGAGCCTCCATCGTAAACTCAGTATTGAGATCGTCGGTAGCAATGCCAAGCGAGGTGGTGGTATCAATGTTGAAATTGGGAATGTCGGGGACAAGGATGATATTTGCCAAATCCCGGATCTCCACCCATAGAGCATTGGAGTCGGACTCAGGCGCTGTAGAAAGACCAAGGACGATGGCAACTGCTGGAAAATTTGTGGCGCCATCAGCAACACTGAATTTCACATCCACTTGGGCTCGGTGGTCGTCTGTGGCATATTCAAGAGCTTCGTACCGAACGATGCAAATGTCCACGTTGTCGCACCTCAATTCTTCATCACTAATAAAAGCAGTGGCTTGTCCAGACTGTTCCCAGTCACTTCCAACACTGTCCCTGGCGAAGTCATCGCAAACGCCCATTCCTCGCACCGTTTTCGCGGAGCTCCATGCCACGAGCAGAGTGACGAGGTAACGACGCAAAGCAATGTTCATGTCAAAGTGTTGCTTGTGTAATTTAGCTGGCTAGTATAGGCAAAGTTGCTTGGATCGTTTGTGTATCTTTGGCCAATTCTCTTTTGGTGAAGTAGATTTTATGATTGTATGCGAGAGGAAACCGTCCAGCATCTTTGACAGACACAATGACATGTTCTCTAACCCCGTACCGGTACCGGTCTGAGCACCACGAGTACTATTAGTATCATTGGTTCTGTGCGGTTCAGGGCGATCGTGCAAGGTTAACCATTGCAACGACTTCGTGTCCGAGCTCTGCGACGCTTCTTTTCAAAAAAGGAAGAGCGCAATTGATTTGCCGGCGTTTACTGTGGAATAAACAGTACAGGTACAGGTACCATACGGTACCATACCGGTACGCCACCGGTACCGGTACCATACAGTACCATTGAATTCAATCGATAGATTCAATGGTAAGTTTGTGGATGGATTGAATCGAATCATACGGCCACTGTTGGTCCTCTTGTCCTGCCGAAGAACCTCGGTCCCTTCCCAGCCTTCAGTAGTCCTACGGTATGGTCCGCTCTGACCCACAATGAGCACTCTCCGCTGTAGCGACGTCTACCGGTGCAATACTGGGCTACAGAAGGAGAAACATGGCTTCACGAAGAGAATCTCAATAGCAGTTGATCATCTTAGATGTCTTAGATGCTCCCTATACTCAACTCTAATTTGTAGCTCTCCAGATCCTTCTGGTTGCCAAACTCAAATCGGCAAAGAAGTTCCTGTTGACCAAACGACCCTTCGTCCAAGACAACCGGACTTCGAAGCATACGAACCAGCTGACGGTAGGATCGTCCCAGGGTTGCGTGAGACTCAAAGCAATCAGTTTTTCCCACACGGACACCATACTCCACCCACACAAGAACGGAATGGCATGTCCCCTTGGTGAGAAACGGCGCCCGACTGGAAAACGAGTATTGTTGTTCTTGTCCAGTAGTACATGTAGTGCCGTTGTTGTTGTAGTCGAGCCGTGCAATCTCAAAGCTTGCCGTCAGTTCTCGATACTCGTATTCCCACATCGGTAGACAAAGGTCGTACTGATGAAATCTATCCCCATGACAGTTTGCCTGCTGGTGATCAAACCCACAAATCCACGACGACTTGTCGTCCCCATTCTCACCACCACCACAACGTCCATACGCCTGCTTCAAAGAAGCGCTTTCAATGGCGCATCCCTTGACAACGGCCCAGGCAGGGACCGAACAAAAGTTGTCTGCCAAGATGCCACGTCTTTGTAACGCACGCACCAGGTAGAAATAGTTCAATGCTTCCTGCAAATGCCATCCCTCCAACATTTGATAGTAGGGCTCTCCGACCACAATTTGCACCGGTGATGCTGCCGCAGTCTTGTCGTCGTTGTCGTTGTTGTTGCTGTCCATTCCGTTCAAGAGCTCGAGCGACAATTGTTCGGCGTGACACTGCAACACTTGAAACAAGTTGTTTGCTGTTGACGAGGGAAGTCCATTGGCCAATTGCGCCACCTTGGCCGACAACGTAGGTATGACTCCTCCAGTGCTGCTTTCCAACGACGACACTCTGGTTGCTCCTTCCATTTTTGCAGCCAGAATGGCACAGAGTGCAAAATCGGACACATCCAATACGACGGCATTTTTGCCTTTTTCGTGCAATGCATGTCGAATTCCTTTCTGGAGAAATGCTTGTCGCTGCGAATTGTTCAATTGGCATGCCCGAAACGATGAAATGAGCGGATTATGTTCTGGCATTTCAGCAGGATTTGGGACGCCATCATTATTATTTTCGTCCTGTTTCATGCGCTTGCAAGGAGGCGGGACGTCGCCTTCATTATTTTGATTGGTCGTACTGCCCTTCACATCATCACAAGTGTTGCTGTTGTTGGTTGCTGTGGTTGTAACCATGGAAAACCACATGGCCGTGTCATTATGACAAGCTACGAGTTGGCAAGGTGTTTTGGATTGCACCGGGTATCCATCCTTGTCGCTAGTGAATACAAACAAGCACTGATGCCAATGATCTTGCCACGGTTCTCTGCCATGTTGCGTGGAATAGGTTAGATCCTGCCATAAATTCAATTCCCACCAAAAGAGCACGGCATGTACCCGCCCGTCGGTGTGTGGTTGAATCGAAATGGGAGGCAGTCGTCGCCCTTGAGGTCCCGGTAAGGCACCTGGTTTGGAGAAATCAAAGTTCATGATTGGAAATGGATCCGATAATGGCTTGAGCTTTTGGTTGTCGTTATTGTCATTGTTTTTTTGGTGGTTTGTTATTGTGGTTGTCTTTTGATCCGTCATCATGATCCACTGTTCGGCATGAATGGGAAGAATAAATCCCCCTCTGGCTCCTCCGTCCCTCATCAAGTTGTTGGTGTTGTCACTAGTAGTATCAGATGACAAACACAAACGAATACTATTGTTGTGGTTGTCATCGCCATGAGGTCCCCAGTAGTCTTTGAGAAAGGATCCTTCTACCAATTGTCCCAAGACCCGTGCCCGTTGAGGTACCATGACGGCAGTGGGATGCAGCTGTCGCTCCCACGCATCCCGTAGTGCTGGTAGGATTCCTTCCTGGAGCAAGCTGCTTTCCAACAATTCGGAAACACAAAACTGGATTTTGCTACTAGTAGTAGACAAGTTGTGTTCTGTGGAATGACCTTCCGACACTTGGATCGTATCGTGGAGCTGATTGTCGGCAATGGTCAAGCGAGCCAATCGACTCATGGCAGCGGACATTTCCAACGATGTCACTTGGACTTTGGCTCCTGGAGATTTACTCTTGTTGTTGTGCAGTTCCTCTTGAACGTACTTGGCTGCCATCATGGCCAACAATCCTGTTCCCGAACCAATATCCAGGACTCTCATCACTGAAGCTTCTTGTTCTTGTTCTTCTTCTTGCTCTTGTTGGAGTTGTAGTAGTAAAAATTGCCGAACGGCTTGCTTGCTGGCAGCTCGAATGGCTTGATCGTAGAGTTCATTGCGTCGATGGTCATTGAGCATGGGAAAGAACCATTGCTTGGTACGTAAATGTCGGACAATACCAACATCGACTCCGTCTTCTTCTTCTTGATTTTCAGTACTACTCAGATCCTTCCAGATGATTCCACCGCTGTCTTTGTCCAAACACGCAATCAAGAGAATTTCACGGGGCTTTTTGTCATCATCCTCTGCTGCTGCTACTACTTGAAGCACCACCGTCTCGTTGTATCTCGATTGGGCAATGGCAGCGGATACTTCCGCGTTGTCCGTCATGCCAATACTATCACAGCAGCATGGCCTACCGTATTTGGACAGGACAGGATAGGAACGGAAGATCTCTGGGCTGTCGCATGTGTGGCGTCGAATGGTTGGCCATGGCGCCATGGCAGCAAGAACCTCCAAGGCTGCGTACAATTGTCTTTGAGTACCGTACCGGTACTGGATCTGAGATGATCTGTGTTTCGATTATCGTTGACAAACTCGCATGGTCAATCCGGGCTGTGTCTTGGTTGACGAATTTGACACAGGATCTGAGAGAGGCCTGCCGTCCTCTTCTGCTCCTCTCACAAAACCAAACACAAGGAACAAAGAACAGAAAACCAAAACACAAACAAACAAGATGTGCTACCACAACAACCACACCGCCGTTCCCATCAACACATGCAGCCCAACGAAGCCCCAAATAATGGTCAATGAACGGTGGAACCAAACCATCACTGTCGACACCTTCAGCCCCGCCAAGCCAGTTATGGTCAACGAACGATGGGTCTGTCCTTGCTGCAAAACACAAAAGACACACCATGGACAGTCCATCTTCTGGAGAACTCCCGTCACAGATGATGATGTTTTTCAGGGCCGCTGCCTCAAGTGCTTCCCAGACTTTACACCCAACACTTCTTCTCTTCGAATTTTGTCCTAACTAGCTAAGGGTTGGGCAAAACCATACAAAAGCAATCAATACATAGACCACTTCTTTCGCTTGTAATCAATTAGGGTACAATTAATTAGTCTCCATAAATACTGGTAAATCAAATAAAACACCTTGTTAGAATCAAAACGTTCCATCTTGCTTGCATTCTTGTGCGAGCATACGATCGCATAGACACAACCAAGCCACAGATCAACGTGTCAAAACTACATGTATCTTGAAAGCAAACCAAACAAAGCGACGCCATCGTTCTTCTCCCGACTGGTAGACTGGCCAGCTAGCTAGCTAGCTACATGTACAGCCGTAGTAGGGTACCGCCGTTACAGGGAAGATCGATCTGCAAGTTGTGCTGTCATCCAACCGTGCAGCCGTGTAGTATTTGTATACGGCTGCATTTGAATTAAGTCTTCCACTGCCGCACCGACACGGTCTAGTAGTCTTCTAATACCTGTGCTTGCTGACGACATTCCTGGTTGATCTGTATGTGACTGGTTGACAGGGATCGTGAACTGGACTGGCCCAGCCGTGGAAAGAAACCAAAATGAGAAGAAATCTTGGTGAAATGGGAAGAAATCTTCTCCAATGCGAAGGTCCATACGTCCATATCCAAACGGGGATACCGTACCACACCACACAAGATCTGGGAGACCATCTCCGTCGTCGTCTTCTGCATGGACCTCACAAAACCAAAAACACTATAGCTACTAGCAACAGAAAAGAAAAAATCACAAGCAAACACCAACAGCATGTGCCACTTCAAGAACCAAGCCATTGCCATCAGCACAACGAAGCCATCCATGATCAATGAACGATGGAACCGAACCGTTGTCATCAACACCTGCAGCCCTGCCAAGCCGGTCATGGTCAATGAACGATGGGTGTGCCCCTGCTGCAAAACACAAAAGACATATCATGGACAGTCTGTCTTCTGGCGCACTCCAATCACAGATGATGATGTATTCCAGGGCCGCTGCCTCAAGTGCTTCCCAGACTTCCTTCCCAACACTTCTTCTCTTCGAGTTGTGTCCTAAGGGGTGGGCAGAACAGTAAAAGAATCACTCCCTGGCTACCGCAAAGAACAAAAGCCTTGCATACTAGACAACCGCACCTGTAAACCACTCGGCATGACACCAATTAGCCTTCATAAACTAAAAATAGAGACCCAAATACACTCATGTTTTCTTGAATCAAAGCAATTTTGTAATATGATTGACAGCAAAGGGGTCAACTCAACCATGATGAAGAGCAGAGAGCAAAGAGATCTATTCGATCGTCTCTACAGAAAGCAAACAAGCCACGGCATCGTCTACCGGTACGTAGAGCAACATCCACATCCATAGACATCGCCCTGGCTACCGGTTGCCATTTTTCATGCATATTCCAGTTTTTGTATGACATAGGTTCGCTAGTCTAGACTACCAAAAGCTGATCGAACGATTCAAAAGTGGGGTATTATCTTTTAGTACCGTACCGGAGAACAAAATAATCATCGTGTTCAGACCGGATAGCCTTTGAATACCGTACCATTCAGAAGAGCCAACACACAAGGATGGTCTGGACTGTCATGGCTCAGCCGTGGAAGCAACCAAAACGAGAAGAAATCTGCGTGCAATGCGAAGATCAAAATGTGACTCAGCACCAGATCCACCGTACCATACCCTGCCTTCTTCGTGGGTGTCTCGCAAACCCAACAAAAGCAACACACCAAAAGCAAACAAACAATCAAAACATGTGCCACCACAAAAACCGCACTATCACCATCAACACTTGCAGCCCCACGAAGCCAGTTATGGTCAATGAACGATGGGTCTGTCCTTGCTGCAAAACACAAAAGACATATCATGGACAGTCTGTCTTCTGGCGCACTCCAATCACAGATGATCATGTCTTTCAGGGCCGCTGCCTGAAGTGCTTCCCTGACTTTACACCCAACACTTCTTCTCTTCGAGTTGTGTCCTAAGGGGTGGGCAGAACAGTAAAGAATCACTCCAAGCTACCACAAAGAACGAAATGTACTCCTAGACCACTGTACCTGTATTCCAATCCAATTAGACTTGATAAAACCAAATATAGCTAGCTCTTATTAAAACACACAATCCCTATTGCATCACACGATGATAGATAGTGCCAGCGGGCACCATTGGGGTTCATGTCGCAGGATCGTGCTCTGCACTGGCCGGATCCGTGATAAAAGTGTTTGTTGCCTTCTTTTTGCTTACTTTTTTTTTAACCGTATCCGAGATGTGTTTGTGGCTTTCCTTTTGCCAGGAGACAAAACCGAACGTCCCCGAGATCACACGAGTAAGTAAAGCAACACACCATCCTGTATTCCCCTTCTGCCGTTGTGTTTTGGCTGTGTGCGTGCAGTGCTGTCTGCCTTTCAGGACCTACACCAAACAATTAGGAAAAGATGACGAGGCTGCTGTCATCTAATAAGATATGGAGTTTATTTATTTTATAGTTTCGTAGGTCGATGCAGTGTATACATGGCCGGGCTTGGCCAACATCAAACGGATGGTGTCCCAATTAGTCTATGCAAGGACGGAAAGAGCTACAAGGATGACTCCCAGTAGTGAATGGATTGCCACTGTGGATGCCGATGACGCAGTTCCTGCATTCTCCAGAGTAGTCGCTTCCACAACGGGGTCCTCATTTGCCTTTGAACTACCACCACCGGCAATGTTGGGCAGCGGGGCATTGTTTCCCATTCCAATATATGCCAGGCCCTCCGCATCGGGTACATTGCGTTGCAAAAGTGTCTCCAGTGTTTGCTTTTCATGAATCAGTTTCCAACCGTATCCACTAAACGTTTCTTCCTTCCACAAGTTTCGACTCAGCAGTGGATTGGTGTAGACTTGACTAAAGGCATCCAACGCCACCGCCGCCATGAGATTGCCTCCAAAGACACCATTGGTCCGATGGTCTTGGGCAATCAGACCGACATAGTACTCGACATCATCCACGGTAGGGTACAACTCCTTTAGCGTGGCCACTACTTGTGGATCGGTGGAAATATCCTCGAACGTTTTGGGTCGCTCTTCGTATCCCCAGTACTCGGCGTATTCGGCGTAGGACCGAAAGCCGAGTGCACGGGACATGCGAAGTGCCTCGGTTTCCCGCGGCAATAGAAAGGTGTCCGTATTAAAGGGTTCCATGGACATGGCTTTCTGGGCGCTCAAGTCTTCAAAGGTCTCTCGCAAGTTGAGGATGCCATCGACAAACAAGTCGTTGCGTCCCAAACTTTGCATGAGTGGAATCTGTTCTCCGCCAAAATGCAACGTGCTGGGGACCATGGCATGAAAGCGATAGAGCACCGAAAATTCGGCGGAAATCCAGTTTTCCTTGTTCCATGTGGCATTCCACATCCACGGACCGACATCGAGCGAGTAGATTGGCAAAAAGCTAATGTGCTGAATGTACTCGTCCACAATCAGTTTGATGTAAAGGACAATATTGATATTGCGGGCCGTTTGAAAGACTCGTTCGTCGTCCCAGTCAGAATACAGTGTCTCCAGTTCGCCGGCAATGCGGTTGTGTTCGCGAAGAAAAAGCGTGTTGAGCGCCACAATGTTGGGCAGCAGATTCCCATCCATGTGTCCCATGGCAAAAAAGGTACTATTGTCCGTGAATTGGAGTGCTCGACAGCGACGATTGGTGGCGCCACCACCGGGAAACTGTGTCGTATATTCTTCCACAAGAGGCAAGAATTGCGGATCGACAGTTCCATCTTTATCATACAGAAAGGGTGAGTACTCTTCTTCGTGGAGCACTTGTGACTTGAGCCGCCCCTTGAATCCCTGTGTATTGTCCTGAAGGCGAAGTGCATTGGTCTGTTCCACGGTCCTTCCATAGAGCGGCATGAGGTCAATCTGATGGGTTCCTTCGTACTTTTCGTAGGCCGGTGTACCCGTTTCCGGATTAAAGCCAGTGGCAATAATGGATTCCACCACGTACTGCGCAAAGGTGGCAAACATCATGGTGCTGCGGGATGCCTCTTTGCGCTGTCCATTCTTAGTGCGAAACAACTGCTCCGTCACATCTTCCATGGGTGGCAGACTCTCCACCCACTGGGGATCGGCAGGAGGAAGATGACGGCTGTAGTAGGACTTGTCGGTCAGAGAATCCCAGGAAGCGTAGGGTGCCTTGCACGAAAGACCATGTGGACGATGATTGCCCAACGAACAAAAGTAATCCGTCCCATCGCGATTGTATGCCGTGGCAAGTTCCAGCAGCGCTGCGGCTTCTTCCATTGTCAAGTCATTGTTGTCCTCATCGTTGGACTGCACCGACTGGATCGTGGCCAATAGTACTGGGAGAAGCAAGCATAGAGCAGATCGAAAGAAATTCATTTTTTTCTCTTCCAGTTGTGCGAGAATTGAGTGAGATTTGTGGGCGGACTTGTAGGATTGCAAACTCCTCTACGGCTCTACGGTATGAAGGATTGCAATGGTTAGTTTGGTGGGACGGTTAGCTGTGCGGTTTGACAGCGTGGATGATCGTTCCTTTCCATTCCAATGCATTTTTGACCGGAATGAACGTACTAGTAAATTTTTCTGGGTAAAGTGTACGAGTAACGAGACTTCACGGACACCCGGCGACTAAATAATGCAAAGCTGGAAAGACTGCCTCAAGATTGTGCCGAATTCCGAAACTGCACAAGTGAGGGTAGTTGGGAACATTTTGAAGTTAAATTTACAATATGTATACCCCAACGACCTGCGCAATTCAAAGCTTTGTCCACAAGGTACGCTTTAGAAGTTTACTACGATGTCGATGGTACCAGCAGCTGTGTCAGGTACGGTACTCACGTCCAAAAATGTGGCAGAATGCGAGTGGCTCATTCGGAACGTCGGAACCATTCATCGTGAACACGTGAACACCCCAAGCCCCAAGTGCCATCATACCTCCCTAGCTAGCTAGTTATTAGAGCTAGCTAGCTAGTGCAGGTGTTGAGGTATTAGTCTATGTATGTGGTAAAAGTCGAGGTGTTGAGGTACATATTATTGAAGCTATTCTTCATTACCCCAACGACCTCAACAAGGTAATTTTTACTTTCAGCCAAGGTAAGCAAGCCTGTGGAGACAATCGAAACGAGATCAGGCAGTCTCCCAGAGGGGGGAAGCGGAATCTGGGGCCAACATGACATGAGCTCTCAGACCGATGAAGTAGATCATGCAACTGACGCTACCGTACTACTAACATGGTTCCCTAGCCCTTTGGAATGCATCAAATAATGCCCAAGCCCACTCGGAATTTCTCCTCCTATAAGGGCTGATTTTGTTGGGACGAGCAACAT